TTCTTACACTTGCATGCACTATCTGAGTTACTTTCTTCAGTTTGTGATAATCATTTAAGTGTTTCGTTTCTCTCCTGACTCATGGAGATTAGAACAAAAGGGGAAAAAATTAATATCATCTGATTAGACATTAAAGGCAGGTGAATTTGTTGCAAAAAGTACCACCAATGACATTATTCTAGCACAAAATGTAGCACAGACATCATTCATGCAGACGGATGTAAAGTGATGTATGTGCTGCAAATCTCAATCTTATCAGCTCTTCATTGGTGTTGCATTTCATGTTTGACATTTGTAAGAATTTATTTTGTGAAAATCAAAGATTACATTCAGTCTTTGGTACATATATGTTACCAAACAGTAAAAGGTACATATTCCTGTATTCAGAAGATGGTCTGTATTTAGACAAATACAAAAATAATTTAGGTAAACTATTAGTTTGTCTCTAAGACTTTGGGATTTTTTCTGTCTTATATATCAGAACCTTTGTGAGGTTGGTGAGTTGGTCATACTTTAGGTGCAGCTGTGAGATCAGAAATGCTTAGAGTGGTCATTAAGAGACAAACGTTATAAACTAATTTTTTCAATAGACTGACATTGTATATGAGTATGATAAAGATCTAAAAAAATAAATTTATTCGTACACTTCTTTGCAATTTACACCTTTTCTTAAAAGTCCTGTTTTTGTACTCCTACAAAATATTTACTAGAGGTTAAAGAATGGTCGCTGTAAGGTATCAACCAAAGTGTACAAATGAATACCTGCTGTTAAGCACACCTCAGTGGGTGCTGCCCCAATGTGAAGCCATTTTACCTCTAAAGGTACAAGAAAGAACTTTGTTCTCTGAGCCAGTACAGCATTATCAGTCACGCACATTTAAGCTGTGCATCACAAGACAGCAGGATATCTGTGGCTAAATTGTTCCCTGAAAATCCAGTGAAGGGATGTTTTGGATTCATTGTTAAAGATTTTTCTGTTTGACATGTTTCTGATTTAGACAAAGTCATGAATTCATCAGTGTAAGATCTTTGTCCTGGACTTTAGTCTAAGGTGATTGTAACTGGATTGCAACAATAACGAAAGCAGCAATAAAAACATTTTTAAAAAAAAACTTCCACTTATAAAAAAAGACAATAAAGATAACCGAAGCTGGCAGCAGATTAAATACTGGCAGTGGTATTAATGACAATGAGCCTGTCTTATTTTGAAGTTTTCTTTTCCTTTGGCTAATTATGGATGTGTTTAAACCTATGAATATTGAATTTAAGTTAAGGATGACAGTTTTACTTTAAGAATGTGTTTCTGATTTATAGGTTTAATATTCCTTAGTGACACTACAGAACAGTCTCCCACTGCAGAAGAGAGGAAGCCCACTTAAATGTTTAAAGTGTAAGCACTGAATTTAAACTGTGCTTACTCATTTATTTCATTTACATTCATATCTGTTTGTGGTTTTCTTAAAAGAAAGATGTTAAGTAGGCTTCCACAGAAAGCTCCTACTTGGAAGTTCCTGCTCAATAATGAGAAGAAGATTTGATGATGAAAAAAAAAACCAGGTTCAGCGGCTTTTGTTTCCCCATCTTGACATAAAGGTCCTCCAAGTCTGTAAATCATTTTACAGAGACTGAAAACTTGTTTTATCATTCATACACAGATATATTATAAAACCTACCTTTGCCCTGCAGACAGCGTACAACTTTAAAACTGACACTGCTCAAGTTTCCTTGTAGTTAATGAATAACAGCATGGACATTGATAATAAATCACTGAATGAATTCTGAGCTGATGGTGAAGGATTTCCATTAGAAACTCAAACAGCAGAAAAGTGAAACACATTTTTTTAATTAAAAAAAAAAAAAAAAAGTAGTTATCCCACTAAACACCTCAATGTTGGATACACATGCAGATCATGTCTTTATTGGGTCCATCAGTCCTAACCTGGACGTCAATATGACATTCAACATTTGATCTTTGGGCCTGGTAATTGTTTTGGACGTCACATTGGACAGGCGCAGGGAATTTACATGATTATTTTAATCAACTTGTTTGTTACCAGGTTAAAACTGTCATTTATTAAAATGTGTTGAAATCCATGTTAAAATGTAAAATAATGATGGTTATTCCTTTAGTTATTCCTAATATTGGAATTTCTTTTAAAAGGTGTCACGGCTGCCGAGGCAAGCCGTGTGGTGTTGGAGGGAGAAAGGACTCAAAATACAAGCAGTGGATGATAATGCTAGTGAAGTTTATTTACAGAGAGGGTGGTGGCAAAACAAGCAATGAGGGAGGACAAAAAACTAAAGAAACCTAAACTGGGAAAACTAAATAACAAACCTGGGATGATACCAAAAAAGGGATGAGAGGCAGAGAGACGCAGACGAGGAACAGGACACCGTGGAACACAGATGGACTGGCAACAGGCAGGAGAGCACACAGGGTTTAAATACACATAACAGCAATCAAGGGATGAGCAACAGGAGGGGAACACACCTGGGAGAAATCAAAGCTGACGGGACAGGGGAACGTAAACTGAACACACTCACATGAGACAGAGACCTTCAGAATAAAACAGGAAACTCAGACACAGAACCAGACAAGACACTGAACTAAACGGACAGATTCACAAACAGACAGTGTGACACCACAGACAGACAGAGACACAGACTCATAAGCAGGCACAATGACATCATGGACAGACGGGGGGAACATGGGAGGATCAGAACAGGCACAGAACAGAAACCTAACAAAATGGCGAATAATAATGAAATACCTAATCAGAATAACAAAAGCATAAAGAAACATAAAACACTGAGTCGGCAGACTCAGGACCATGACAAAAGGAATCAGTGACTTTCCTGTTCTTGAAGGTGGCAAGATACCGAAGTTATAAGTTATTAAGGTTTAACTCAAAACTTTTACAGCAATGTTTTTTTTTGTTTTTTTTTAACTTTGCACTGTGCCACAGTGGCATCTGAGGACACTTTGGACATGTTACCAAAGGGTATGGACAAGGAACACATTTGACCACACTCAGCCACACTTATAAGTAATACTGGGTGTAATCTGAAGTGAAACTGATGACCAGGGATTATTTTGCCAAATCTGAAAGACACACAGGAATACCTATAGAGACAAAATTGTTTTGGGGTTTTTCTTGTTACTTTTGTTATTTCTATGAAGACTTTGAAGTTATGTACAAACCTTCCAGGTCTCTTTGCACTGCAAGACTCAGAGATCAGAAGTCTAAAATGGTTGAGACATGTTTTTAACCCAACAGCCAGCATGTTCAGAAACATTTTATTAAAAATGGGTCATTTTAATGGCTAAACAACATAACAAAATCATTTCAAAGTTTTGAAGCGGAGTCTGGACTCAAATCTGATTTAGATTTAGATGCATTGTCATGATCTTAAACAGGCCGTTCATGCTCAAAACAACACAAGTGTGCTTGAATTAAAACAATTAAAAGAAACTCAAAGTAATTGAGATCTCTCAGTCTGGAAAAGGTCATAAAGCAATTTCTAAAGCTGTGAGACTCCAAAAAACCACAGTGAGAGCCATTATCCACAAATGAGACAACATGGAACAGTGATGAAGTCAGTAAAGTTTATTAAGCGCTTTTGAAAGACAAGCCACAAAGCGCTGTACACAAAAGGCTAAAATAAACATGAATGTTAAGTGCCAAAAAATATTAAATAAGACAGTAAAAACACAGGTAGTTATTAAATAAATAAATAATAATTCATTTGAAAAATTAAAACAAAAACCTGTTTAAAGAGAAAAGTTCCACAGCCTTGGTGCCACAGACTGAAAGGCTCTGTCCTTCTTAGTCTTTAGCTGTAAACAGGGAACAGCTAATAAATTCTAAATCTGTGAACTGAGTCAACGAGCAGTAGTGTATTTTGTAAGAAGCTTGGATAAATAATCTGAGGCCTGGCCATTTAGTGCTATGTATGTTAAAACAAGAATTTTGAAAAGAATTCTAAAATCTATTGGGAGCCAATGTAAAGAATATAAAACAGGAGTAATGCGAGTTTGCTTGCTTGAATGTGTCAGTAGTCTAGCCGCAGCATTTTGTATGGCTTGGAAGTGAGAGAGATGATTTGTCCAAGCTGGTAAACAGGGCATTACAATAGTCTAAACACAATGACACAAATACATGAATAATTTTTCCAGTTCAGCTGAAGAGACCATATGTCACACTTTAGAAATGTTCTTTAAATGAAAGAAACATGAACAAGACAAAGATTTTATATGTGAGCCCAGAGAAGAGTCAAATCTTACTCCAAGATTTTGAATGTTTGACTTAGCAGTTGGACAAAAAGAAGCAAGAACCTGACTGGATGTAAGATGTAGTTCAGGAGGAGCTATGATCACAGTCCCAGTTTTGTTGTGTCAAAGAGACCTGGAGGCTAGTATGTGATCGTGGACCCAAGCACAGACCACACAGGTGAGTGAACTGTAAGCATACTCTACCCAGGGAAGATATGAGGACCAGGTTACTGGATTGTGCGAGATGATGCAGCATAGGGCTGATTCTAGTTACTGGTATGGCGTCTCCGTTTGGCGCCAAGTGTGGTGCAAAACATCTTCCAGACTTGAGAAAAACTGAGGACCTGTATCTGAGAGGATTTTGGGTGAATGCCATGAAGCTTGAACATGTGATCCATAATTCAATTCAATTCAATTCAAATCAATTTTATTTATATAGCGCAAAATCACAACAAAAGTCGCCTCAAGGCGCTTCATAGATACAAAGAAAAACCCAACAATCATATGACCCCCTATGAGCAGCACTTTGGCGACAGTGGGAAGGAAAAACTCCCTTTTAACAGGAAGAAACCTCCAGCAGAACCAGGCTCAGGGAGGGACGGGGCCATCTGCTGTGATTGGTTGGGGTGAGAGAAGGAAGACAGCTTGGTGTAGAAGGAGGAAGGAAAATGAGGAAAATGAGCTTGGTGGTCTCCCAGGTCAAGTAGAGTTTGTCCAAAGCGATGAAATGAGCCAATTTGGAGAACCTATCAATGACAGAAAGGATCACAGATTTGCCAGAGGAGACAAGAAAGCCACTGACAAAATCAAGGGCAATATGCGACCACGGACGACGTGGTATGGTTAGGGGTGAAGGAGGCCGTTGCATTTGGTTATTGTTGCGTGCACAGATGGAGCAGGTGGTCTCCCACCAGAAATTGTATTTAAGATAAGATGGAGATGGTCCTACCTTTTGTGTTAGGCCAGGTTGTACTGGGCTACCAGAGGCCAGTACGTGAACTAACCAGAGGAGAATGGTGCTAACTGGAATAAGAGTGACTTACTTGGCAGGCGCAGTTCTGAGACTCGGAGGGGGAAGTGCAGGTCTGTGTGGCATGGAAGAGTGCGTAACAGTAATGTCCAACCTGAATTTCTTGGTTTCCCAGAGAGACGGTAGCAGGAGGGCAGGCAGGTTAGTGTAGAGAAGAGGTGATTCCTGAGTGGCAGAGCACTAAGCAGAGGTGGTGTGAACCTCGTCGTGAAGGCCAGTGTCTGAAAAAGGTGAACAGCTAGTGAGTTGAATGGTGGCATGACAAGAAGATTAAAGCACAAAGAGAACAAGGTAAGTAAACAATGTTGGCACTGGATATGGATAAAGAGGGCCTGTTACCAATGTGAGTTAGCTTACAAATTGGTGGAGAAAAGATGGCAATGCTGGTCTTAAATATCATCTCCGTGATTACCGAGAATCGGTTTCAGGTGAGCTGAGCAGGTGAGATAAAGAGGACTCCGCCCAAGGGCAGGTACAGGAGAACTCAGGAACACTGGAAAAATACAGGCAGTTCAGCCAGACCATGACATGTTATTGTTTAATATAAGATAATTGCTAGAGAACCAATCAGTAACTTGTCAGATAAGAAGAAAACAAGTTTAAGGCAGAGCCAGATACACCAGGCTAAACTTTAAGCCTATGAAGTAGGATTTTATGGTAAATGATATCAAAGGCTGCACTGAGATCAAGCAGAATGATTACAGAACAATTCCCTGAATCAGAAGCCATTAAAGATCATTATAGACCTTCAAGAGAGCGATCTTAGTGGAGCACTGCTTTTGAAAGACTTTTGAAATATAATAATTTGTATAGTAAAGATCTGAACTGCTATTCTACAATTTTTCCAAATAACTTGCTTATAGATGGCAATTTTGAAATAGGCAATTATCAGATAATTACCAGTAGAGCTGGCATCAAGATTCCCTTTCTTCAATAGAGGAGTTACTGTGGTATGTTTAAAATAGGATGGAACATGCCCTTGCCTCTGTGAAATGTTAATGGTAGACAGCAATGTGGGACTAATGCTGGTGAGACTCTCAGACACGAAGGAAGGAGGTAATATATCTAAGGAGCACTGCGAGGATTTCATTTTACATATTACTGTAATTAAGTCATTAAGTGTGATTGGAGAAAAAGAAGTAAATGACCGAGGATACTGAGGACCACCTTGATAAGGGGAGCCAGTGGAGGAGATTTTGGATCTCAAGTCCATCACCTTATTTACAAAGGTATTGGAAAAGTATTACAATCATCATCAGAAAGTAACACTGCATGCAGAGTTGAAGGATAAACAATACTGTTGGTAGTCTCAAATAATACTCTTGGATTATTCTTATGATTTATAAGATTATCGAAATAAGGGACAAAGCTCTAAAAGATGTGAGACTTCATTCTCACACTGCCATATCTCAGAGATGAACATAAAATCAAGCTTCTCTGTACAGAACAAGTCAATTATCATTTTAATTATGAGACCCACTGGGGCAGCTGTAGAGGGCCCTTGAACAGAGTTCAGACTGTGGGATAAGCTGCACAGCAAATCAGGATCCCTGCTGTGATGAGCAGTGGCTTTCAGCACAAGGAAACCAGCTCTCTCTTTCCCCACTTCCTTCCATGCAAAGGTGACCTGACCGACAAGAGTGGCGGTATGCTGGGTGTTCTGCCGTGCTCATGTGGTGGACAAATGAATTCTTTCGTTGACACTGAAAATTATCCATCCAATAATGCATGGTTATCATATACCTGAAGGGAGATGACGCCAGAAAAAACTGGAGCAAAAATAATTACACAACATGTAAAATAAATAAACTCACAGACAGGAGCAGAGGCACAGCCAAACACAGGTGCCATCTTGCTTGGAACTCGAGCCCTTGAACCTTCCCAGGAGTAACCAAGTGCAGCGATGACTCATCAAAGAGGTCACAAAAAACCCCAGAACAACATCCAAAGAACTGCAGGTCTCACTTGCCTCAGTTAAGTTCAGTGTTCAGGGCAGGGCAAAAATAGCCTGCATGGCAGAGTTCCAAGACAAAAACCACTGCTGAGCAAAAGAAACATAAAGGCTCGTCTCAGTTTTGCCAGCAAACATCTTGATGATCCCCAAGAGCTTTGGGAAAATTCTCTGTAGACTTTTTTAGAAGGTGCATGTTGCGTTACATCTGGTGGAAAACAAACAGCATTTCAGAAAAGGAACATCATACCAACAGTAAAATATGGTGGTAGTGTGATGGTCTGGGGCTGTTTTACTCCCGCCGGACCTGAAAGGCTTGCTGTGGTAAATGTAATCATAACTCTGTCTAACAAAACATCCTGAAGGAAAATGTCTGGCCATCTGTTTGTGACCTTAAGCTGAAGCCGACTTGGGTTCTTGGGTTCTGCAGCAGGAACCAAGGAGTCAAAGTCCTGACCTGAATCTGTGTGAGATGCTGTTGCCTAACCCATGTATGACCTATGAATGTATGAGTCCCAATTAATAGTTGCTCCAAGAACTAATGTCATCTGTTCATACTTCACAGACTGTAAGCTCTTATTTGTAATATTAATAATAATTTGTCTTTATCTTTGCTGTGCCAGATGAACCATCTTCCAGAAGACGCAGGAGCAGCTATGGACTTCTGCCACCCTCCAGTGAGTCTATGAAGAAAGAGATTGTGTTTGATTCAAACTTTAATTTCACAATTTAAGGTAGAACACAAAGTAAACAAAAAGTGAAACAGAAATTCGAAAAAAAAAAAATCATTAACAAAAGCAACAAATTTGGCTGCAGTTTTCAGCAGAGTTTAGTCCTTATGTGTTTATCACTGAACAAAGGTGCAAAAAGAGAAAATAAAGACACATTTCAAGGAAAGGAAAATCTTGACTCACCACTGTGTACTTTGAGGGCCTCAAATATATGGACAATATAAAGGTTCAAATTTTGCATGGTTTGATTTTGTAGAATCTTTCATGGAATGAGCCAAATACAGTTTTATATAGTAGAAATCTACAGTTATTAAAACTTTTACATAAACTACTTTTGCTATCATTTCAGTGTCTGAGCTCAGAGTTATTCTGCTGGGGAACAGCTCGCCTAAGAGGCATTCAGTGAGGAATGTCATACTGAGTGACACAAAGTTCAAGCCAGGGAGAAAACTGGGCCGCTTTGTGAAAGTCAGTGGACAGATTCAAGGGAAAGAAATAGTTCTCATCAACACTCCAGATCTGCTTCATCCAACCATCTCTGAGGACAAATTAAAGGAACATGTAGAAACCTGTGTGAGGCTCTCTGATCCTGGTCCTCATGTGTTCCTGTTGGTTCTACAGCCTGAAGACTTCACTGAGGAGCAAAAAATGAAGCTCTGTCGAGTCCTTCAGCTCTTCAGTGATCAATCTTTTGATCATTCACTGGTTTTGGTATCACTACCCACAAAGGGACTTTCATATCAAGAGAGCATTTGTGCTTATGATGCACCCTTACAACAAATGATCAGAAGATGCGGAAACATGTCACTGAAGTTCAAAGAGCTTGATATTTTGGAGTTACTGAAAAGTGTAAACCAGATTCTACAAAGGAACAATGGAAAACATGCGATTTGTCATCACACTAGCACTAAACAAAGGAAAGTAGTTCCTGTTACTCTGGATTATGATCAGTCTGTTGGTAAGTGTAGAAAAATATTTTTTTGATGATGCAAAAGTCACATTCTTCAGATATTTTAACAGAAGGTCAGGACACTTTCTAAAAGTGTTCTCAAATGTAAGACGCCATCCTGTAACAGCCAAGCGGCCCAAGGCTAGGAAGTGGACTCAGATGCAGATAAACTCGGAGAGCCAGGGGCGCAGTTAGAAGCAAAGTTTATTACAGGAAGTATGCAATCACAAAACGAGTGAAGAAAACGCTCCCATATGGGGAAGAAAAATACCAAAGGCGAGTGTTCCTAAAAACCAACCCTGATAAACAACCACGAGCCAACTCGTGAACTTAAGGATTACAAATAAGGAGGAAAATGCTATGAAAATACTTAGGGAATGACGAGACAACACAATGAGCTGCCATCAGCTATACACATTCTGGGAAAAGGCTACACCATACCATGAGCAGCGGTCAGCGAGAGGCACTTCTATGAATCACTAAAAGTGAAAGTACTAAGAGTCACAATATGTGCCAGAACTTAAGTCTCCAAAGGGAAGGTGGCACCGTGAGGGAGTCTTAGGGCTGTCTAGGACGAGGAGCGGGGCACCAGGCACTGGGTAATATCCAGAGTAGGAACCTTTAAGTTATTGGCGGTGGAATCCCGTGGCAGCAGCCTAAGAGTCTCTATGACAGGGAGAGAGGCGCTAACAGTCGCTCTGGTGAGAATTTCAGTGAGAGTGTGGCAAATTGTAACAGTCTTACTTGTCGCGGGCTGATGTGAAGCTCTGAGGGAAAGGCAGTCCAGGTGTCGTGGGCTGAAGTATCCAAAAGGTAAAAACCGTAACTGGTGGAGTCTTGGGCAGGGAAGCAGGCAGAGGGAATAACCGAGAAAGCAATGAACAGGCAAGCAGCTGAGTCAGTAGAAGCAGTGAAGAAGAGCGCCCAAACGGTTACTGCGAGCAGAAGAGAAAACCGTTAACATTAACACAATAATAAGAAACATTACACTGTGGCAGCCCTCACTAACTGTGGTTAGCAGACAATCTCACAAAGAATGACAGTGAGCGCTGGTCTTATATCCTCCCAACCTAATTACGCCCAGGTGTCTCCACTGCAGTAGACTCCGCGCGGCTCCGCCCCAGTGGTGGAAGCGCTGTACAAGTGGAAAAAACCCCAGCGCTCCCCCGGACCATGACACATCCACCAAAAGAAAAAAAAAAAAGGTTTCTGAGCTGTTCTTTCTATGGCTAAGGTCATGTTCCAGTTACCTTATTTGCATGTAGGCAGATTTGGTCTACAGAATGAAATCATTCATTCATCCTTAAAAACACATTTTCGGAACAGACACAGACAACAGATACGCATAAAGCAACATACTGAATAAATTAATAAATAATAACAATAGAGAATCCACACAGTTTCATGTAGGATAGCAAAGCTATCTGATTTCATCTGAGTGACATCAGATCTGCTTACATTTAAGAAAAAAACTTTTAATTTAAGCGTATATGTTTTTACCATTGTAGTTCATGCTGAGTAAACCAAGTAAAAAACAACCTTTGCTCTTGAATTTATTCATGTATGAATCCATTTATTTCTTTTGTAGTTAACTTAATCCTTCAACTACAGGAAGTAACTGTCAAAGATATCTTTAGAAATTCCCCAAATGTAAAAACTCTCAAGGCCTAAAACAATTTGTATTTTTTTACCAAAATGTTCAATATTTTTGACACACTGTTAAATGTAATATTAATGTGTTTTAAAATTTCCTTATAATAATACCTGAGCTTGAATCTAAGAAGGAATGTATGAATGACACTGTAATGTTGTTTCTTTACAGGGAAAGGACTTAAAATTATGTTATTTGGAACAAACTCAGAGAAGAAGGTGGCACTCTGTAACTTTATTGTGAAGAAAAAAACTTCCCATCGTTCAAGTGTAATTCAAAAAAGGGTAGTTGTCCAAGGAGGGTGGAGAGGAAAACCTTTAACAGTAGTGAAAACTCCCGACTTCTTAAGTCTGTCTCTGAAAAGAGTGATAGAAGAGATGAAGAGCTGTGTGAGTCTCTGTCCTCCTGGACCAAATGTTCTGCTGCTGATGGTGAAACCTTCTGATTTTACTGAAGAGAAGAGAAAAATTCTTAAATTCATCCTGAGTTTTCTTGGTGAGGATGCCTTTCAACACTCCATGGCGATCATCACAGATAAAGAGGAGACAAATTATTCTGTTACATCACTCCTCAGAGACTGTGAAGGTAGACACTACAACATGATTGAAAATAATCGGGAACAGTTAATGGAGAAGATTGAGAACATGCAGACTGTCCTCAAAGGAAAATTCCTCACAGTCACTGAAGAGAC